AGCGGGCTGGTGGGGCTGGGACATGGGACATCCCCCTGGGACTCCGTGGGACGCTGGCCAGGCACTGGATTGAGCTTCCAGCCCTCCCCTAGCGCTCGCTGAGCGGTAACAAAGGGGCTGTGTCTCACTGAGCGGGTCCCKCCCTGCCCCTTGACGCTGCTCCAAAGGCCAAGGCCAGGGCCCATCTCCTCCGGACCAAGCTGGAACAGATCCCAGAACTTGCATTTTTGCTGTAGGAGACCGGGTACAGAAGCATACTTCAAAATTATCTTTGTTCCCTCTCCCTTTAAATGAATCCCTATGATACTTACATGTTATACTCTAACTATGCCACTTTCAAAAAATCCCAGTGCACTAAATGTTCTTTTTTTTTTTTTGCAATTTTTCAATTCATAACTTGATTTTTAGAATTATCTACCTTCTCCTATCCTCCCTTCCCTATTCAGTAGCCGGTTCTTAACCCATATCCTGCATTATACACACTTGAGGAGCTCCACGCTGTTGTCCTTGGCCCGTAGGCACGGTATCTCATTTGTGGGTGGATTGAACGTGCACCTTGTCATTAGAGTCACCCTTTTTTTGCAWCCYGATGAGCGAAGTATAATCTTTTWCAAAATTAATGACAGCTTGACTTTAAAAATGTGGAYGTCCAGCTAAGCCACCACCCCGGGAAGAACAGGATATGACATTTACAAACACGGAAAACGAAAGGAGGAGGCAGTAAAATGACAGGAGGAGACAGTAACTGATTTCTCACGCTTCAAACCTCTTACGTTTACATCACCATCCACCTTGGGGAAGGGGGTGGAAAACAGACTTGTAATGGTTCAAAATGCCTGCATTTTGGATGAGGAATTTCTTCCAGATTTTCTTGGGAGGGATAGCAGGAAAACACCTCCATGGAGCCACCAAGGGAGACTCATTCCTTCCACTAATGAACCAAGATCCTTCATGTTTTCCAGGAAATTTTGGACATAGTTATATGCTAGAGAGCATTTACCAGTAGTTTCAAGCCATTAACCAAAAAAAGGACAAATAAAATGAGATATGGGTATGTAATAAATATTATTTACACTTATATTACACATAGGCACTCCAATTTCCCCTTTGTAACCACTTAGAAGTGGTTAAAGCAGCCAAGTTTTTTTGGTTGATAGCAAAATGATCAGAAGCTAAAGACATCCTTGAGAAAATCTGATTTTCCTGAGACCTACATATTTAGATATGTACAGATTTAAGATCTCATTACTGGGCAAAGAAATCCAGAAAAGTCTGAATCCAGATTCATCTTCACTAAGTTTCCATATCATTGCAGAGGACTTGGAAGAGCTCTCTTCCTTCATTGTTTCAGAGTGCTACACAAAGTCCATTCATCRTTAGGTGCCAAAACCTAAAAACTCATTACTTAAATAATTTTAATCATAAAACATTTAGCAAATAATTTATGCTCCCAGCGTACACTTGTTGATCTGAATAATAAACTGGGAGAATTTATCTTCTCAAAGTATATGACACYAGTTGTTGAAATGGCATTAACAGCTTTTCAAGGCAACAGAGAAAGATGCTGGCTCACTGCTCTGCTTGGACTCAAACAGAACAAACAGAAATAAATTGAATTAGATCTGCCTGATGTTTTTTGCTTTCTGGGTTGTAGCTCCCCACTGAATATGATGCAAGACCGAAAGGGCAATTGGAGGTTCATCCCCAAGGCCTCAGTTCAAAGGRAGTCCTCTCAGAGCTCTCCTATTGCCAACCCGAAGGCAACATCAAACAGTGGCAACGCAAGCTCACAGAATGAAAAAAGCAGCTTTACAATAATGGACAATGTAGATATTTCGGTTTGAGTAAGTACGAGAGGAAACACTTTCTGGCATTAAGTATTGAGGATGGAGTTAGCTGGCCACTGGAAACGGCCACGTGAGACAAGAAAAGTTAACATAGTTTTTCACTCTTTTTGACGTTGGCATGCACGTGTAGTTTCCTACCAGAAGGAAATAACGGAAAAGTGTTTATGGTAGAGATGTGAACATCAAAAAGATGCAAGAACTGTGTTCGACCTTTGCAGGAATTCCCCTCTAAGAGGGAGGTTTTAGGGGATTTTTCCCCCCTGGAGACCAGACTTGTTAGCAACTTCCAGTACTACCTCTACTTGCACTTCCCCTCTTTGTGGAGGGTGGCACCGTGATATCCTCCCTCTTCTGCTCTCCACTAATTTCTTAATTTGTGTTTAATATTTGGCTTGCTTTCACAATTCTAGGGAGAAATGAATGTACACTTTCATAGGTTGCCCCAGCCCTCACTCAGGCCTGGTCATGATCATTGATTTCTTTCCTCACTTTATACTATACTCAGTTATGCTGGTCTTAAACCAAAGGTAATTAAAATGATCTTTCTCTTAATATTGTGGGAGTTAGTCCATCAGTTGTATCTGAAGATCAAATTCCTTCCAAAACATTAAGTTTTGTTAATGTTGTTCTATTTTGGCAAACAGCTCTCAAACATCAAGGTAAGAAGCATGGTCAAGACATGGTTAACTACTCTCCCCCTCTCCTGTGATAATACAGCTGTAAAGCTATAGTTAGTTATATAGCTATATTTTCCATATGTATTTTACTGGTAAGGAAAGACTGCATTAAATGCTGCAGGATCTGTCTGCTGCTTTAATAATTTAAGAGAAAACRGCAAATGGGTAATTAAATGACCTTAACACTTCTATAGGGAATTTCTGGACATCTGCTCTACAGTCAGCTCTCAACATAAAGTTCTGTTTTCTTAACTCATCATAAATCACCTCCTTCCTCTATTACTTACCATCACAAATTTCTATTTGCCACGTAATTTAACTTAAATGTTTCTGAGGCATTTCTCCTCAGCTTCTTCATGTGGCTTGAAGTCGTGCACACGTTTGATCACCCTTAGCTCGGTCACCTAACAGCTCTGCTAGTTACCAGTCTCTRCTGCTTCGATAAACCTGGATCTGCTTACGAGGATCACAGGGCAGGCTGATACATCTCCTGGAAAAGAGTGTTGAGCTTTATTGGACCCACAAAGGCACTGGCACAGATGCTCTGATACTAAGGTGTTAGAAAACCCATGGCAAATCACACACAAATATTTGCAGGGAGGAAAAAAAAAAAAAAAGGCCTAAATGATATTCAGAGGAAGCCTGTGATTTTCTACTGTTGGGAGAAATCTCCTCATCATGAGCCTAAACACTGCATATATTTAAATGTAATTTAAACTCCCAATGAGGCTTTCAAGGCGGTGTTTTCAGGGGCGTACAAGTGATCAGAGGGGATTGTGCTCGTTTGCCACTAAGAACAGACGAAGGGAACGGTGCTTGCAATGCCATCACACGCAAAGCCAGGGGTGGGAAGATGCAAAAGGCTCCAGGAGCTGAGGCGCAAAGTGTGAATAACATTCAGGCACGATGCAAAGATGCTAATTTCTCACTTACTTTCTAGAGGAAAAATAAAAAAAAAAAAAAAAAAAAGGAAGGAAAAAGATGATAAACATAATCCAATATAAATCGGCATGTGTAAAAACAGAGCCTGTACTACTTAGCACAATTTGCAGTGTTTTATGGTTATCAGCATTTTGCCTAATTATGTCTAAACATTCCCCGGCTCTTCATTCGCTCGAAATACGTTTTTATAAACAGTCTGTAAAGGTGCCAATTCACCTGTCTGGTTTATGGGTATTTTAACGGGCTGGCGAGAAGGAAACAAAACTATAAAGTTTATCCTTTCAAGAAGAAAATGAAAATTTTCCAAGGTGCCAGTTTTATTATTTTATGACATAATAGCTAGTGGGAAAAACAGCCCCTCTTCTAACATAAGGCTACATAATAGTGGAGTGCCACAGGGGTGATAGTTTTTGCAACCACACTGCATTTACATGTTGGAATTGTTATGGACGTATCTCAGTAACCAGAAGGGTAAGGGAGAGGAGAAAATATCCCTTTCTGATGTACCCCAAGCGTTGTGGACATTAGTTTAAGGGATGGAAGGGGCGGCAAGGAGAGAGAAGGGACCGATAGAGGACCAACAAAGCAATGCAAGGGAGGGAAGTAAAAAGACTAATGAGACTCGAAGCACAAGGCAGAGGGTAGGGGAGGAGGACAAGCGGCAACACAAGGCAACAGCACGGGAGCAAAGGACAACAGAAAACAGAGTAGTTTTGCAAAGCAGGGGAAAAAAAGCTTGAGGAAAAAGGAATTTTCAAAGAGCGAGAGAAGGATGAACCAACAGAAAGTTGACCTAAATAAGGGAAATGCAGAACTGGAGTGAGAATGAAGGCTCACAGAGAAGATGAACAGATGCTTTTTGGGCAGGGGATCTGTCTCCCTCTCCATTGAGAAGGGACAACAGGATGGATTCCTTTACGGGGTGGCAGGACACTATTTTCAATGATGTGGTTTATGATATGAAGCTGTTAATGCTTCATGTCTGAAAGCCTCAGCCATGTTCTGGTATCTATACTGTGGGTACTGTGGTTTTGGTCGATACTGCTTATGGTAAAARCATTTCTTTTTTACTTTCTCCTTCTTCCCTCCAGTGCTTTGCTTCAGATGCCAATTTGAGGGGCTGCTCACTTTCTTCAGACGCCAACTTTAGMCACATGAATAGGATGTCTCTTTAGTTCCTTACATTTTCACACAAAAAGATTAACAGATATTTGATGTTGCAACAAGGGACACAAAAGAAAAAAAAARGGGGGGGTGAAGATTGTCATTTATTGTGTTTCTACAACAAACTTGGCTTCAAAAACATAACCTTTGCCTTTAAAATGACTCATATAACTCAGAGAAGTTCTGCGGGCCATGCCAGACTCAACATTTAATGCACGGTGGCCCATAGTGGCAGAAAACTAGATCTCCATCTCTGGACCCTGCTGCTACTGTGAGTGCTGGCATATCTGGCAAACACTGCTCTGCTTCCTAAACTCTACAGTAGCTATCAACTCAAATCTCAAATGGGAAAGAGGTTTATGGAGTTTACAGAGCACCTCTATCATGTCAACCGTAGGGTTAATAGACGAGCTGTCATCTTCTGGTTCAGGTTTACAACTGCTGATGGTTGTAACTTTTGGTGAAGTGTCGATATCCAGCAATTTCTGAATCCCTAGAAAGTTTATATTGGTGAGGAGAGATACGCAGCATTAYGCATCGCTCTCTATAACCTAACATTTCTGAATAAATCTGGTAAAGAAACACTCTCCTTTCTCCAAACCAGACGATCCTCAGATTCTAGGAATTATCGGCAGAATTTAAGAAAGCTCCTTAATGATTTCCACTGGAACCAATGACAAGACTAATCGAGGGGACTATATTTCTTCTCTTAATTAAAATATACATGAGTTGTGATTTACTCTTCATTTACATTACTGAGGAAGTACTATTTGTGAGGCTTGCCTACCAAGATTCAGGATAGTTTCCACTCAAAGTGTTGTAGCATCTGTCTCAAGCAATTTCCACAGGCACCTGTTTCATGCAGACTTTTAACATACCTTGGTATACCAGGCAAATCAGAGACATGTGGAAGGGTTTGAATATTGTGTCAACAGGACCAAGAAATGTGAATCAGGTAGGGGAAGAAAGGAAGATTGGTCTGGCACTGGTTCCCCCAATATGGACGCAAAATGTGACGTGTAGCCTACTTAGTGAACAAGGACAACATGGAGCCCAGAAGAGGTGGTCTTCTTGAGCAAATCTCACCTTCCTTCAGAGAGAGGGCCAATTYGGTTAATAAAAGTACGTCCATATGGGCAATCCACAGATATTCATACAGAATACTGCTTAGGTGAAACACTTAAGAGGGAGTATCACGCAATACTGATCGAGCATATATTGAACAGGGCAGGAACTGTCTGGCTGGTGGGTCGTGGAGAGCAGCCAGGAGTGTGTGTCTATGGGGACTGCCTGCAGAGACCAGCAAGATGCCTCAAAAAGTCTCTAAACAACTTGATTCCTGAAAAAAAATAATGGTTTCTTCAAACTTACGAGTGATTTTCTCTCCCAGAGGGTTTCAGGGAAGCCTAAGTATGTTTTGGTGTTGTCCAGGTTACAGGTCTTGATAGAGGATGGTGATTACCTGCGACACGGCAAGGATGATCTGATTTGATCGTTTGATCATTTGATCTGATGAACTGTTTGATCGTTTGAAACTTTAAGCAATTCACTGGAGCTCGGCAAACTCCAAACCCACAAATGGCAATGAGTTTGAAACCGTTTTAGGCCTACGCCCTTAGCTATGCCCTGCTGCTCATCTGAGAAAGGAACGAATTATGGAAGGGCAAGCATTCAAACGGAGGCCTTCCTTCCAAAGGCTTGGTTGATCCMTGCACTGGTAGCACACAGACCATGTTCTTGTAAGCAAAGGACGTTCATGGCCAGCAGAKTCAGTAGAGTTTGCTGCATTGGCCTTAAAAACCACACGTTTAGACAAGACCTTGAGGAAATGGATGATATCCCCTCTCATCCTCATCTTACTGGATTAGTTCCTGTGAGTTACACAACTCAAGATGAAAACATGTCTTCTCCATGTACAAAAAGTTATTTGGTACCTAAAAGGAGCAAGTGGACAGAGCTAGGAGAGTGACACTCTACTGTATTCCAGGGATTCTGGTTGTTCAAGYAGCATCCAATGTGGCCGATGAAACACAGTATTGAATCACTGATTAGAGGGAAGGCCATACAAATAAAATATGTTATTATTTAACAAAATAGCTGCTAGTAACAGCTATGWAACAGTCTCCCACTTAGCAGGAGTAACTGCTTGGTTTCGGCGAATAATTCTTCTGAAGGAAYGGGCAAGCCAAGGAAACTTCCCATTTTGGCCCGGAAGTTTCTCTTAGTTAAAGAGAAATCTTTTGTAAAAATTTGTGAGAAGGTGGGGAAAAAGGGKGGAGAGAATCTCTTTAATTTCAGAACAAAAAGCATTCAAGCCTATGACAGGAAAAAGGTGTCAGTCACAAGAATCGGGACGAGGGGAGTTGGTGAACAGCAACTGGCCTCAACCTGCTGTGACCCTCTCGCTGACTTCAACGCGACTGTTGGGAATTACTGCAACTGTGTCCCACAAGCTGGGGGTTTCCCTGCTCCCGAGAAGCGAATTCACCCAAACCTCTTGCTGACCCCCTTTCAGCTTGAACGACGTTCCAAGGGGAATATGGGAACCCCAGAGCCATCGGGTGTTTGCACTCAAGAGAGTGGATGTCCTCCTCTGGTCTCACATGAGGGCAGAGCCACGCACAAATTACTGGTAGCACTGCCATCTGCTGCAAGAGAGCTGAATGTCAGCAAAAAACATCGCTGAAACACAAAGCGGGAGGAATGATCCTTAACATTGTGAAGCATGAATGAGCAGACGGAAGGACACTAAAACCTCTGCGGTGTAGAGTTGCTTTATGTTGGCAACAGCATCACTAAACTTGACCATCCCAATCGCCTGGGCCAGGCTTTGAAAAACTAGTGTRTTATCTGTTGGCTTTCTGAATTTTTTGAGCCCCAGAGTTCACACTTTCCCTCACTAGTTATACATGGTACAAAATTCATTCTTCCAGGCACTATCAAAGAAGCTAAGGATTTCAGGTGAATCTATAACTCTGATTGTAAAAATCAAACCAAGTAAAAAATTCTCTACCATATGCTGTCGAATAAAACAGAGACCACCATAACCACATGAAAAATGCTACCATGGGCATGCAAACACATTGCATGACCATGTAATGCACAAACATGCAATTTTGAATGACTGTCTGACTTTTTGAGTAGTCCAGGCTTTCCAGAGCATTACTCCCAGGCTCCAAATCAGCTCCTGTGTGTTCAAAKACCATCCAGAATAAGCAGCTAAATGCTATCCCATTAACAGCAAACAGCAGCAACACTTTCCAATTTCCACTTTCCAAAAGGTAACTCAAAAGAGCAAGCTTCCTTTGTGAGAATAAAATCCCGAGCAAAATCCGTGTATCTCAACAAAACCTACCGACACCTTCGTTGAAAGCAATTTTTGAAAGGAAACTCAATGGCAATTCAGGCCCTTCTACAAGAAACTAAGCTTTCTACCATAAAAAGACACACATAAAAAAAAAAAAGAAAAAAAACCAGATAATTTGGGTTTGGGGAAAATACAGAAGTCCCAGGTAACTTTCAACTTCTACCTGCCCAATGTTGCCAGACATAAAAGAAGACATCAGGCTGGTTTTCAGCAAAAGCACTTCTGCCTGGAAGGAAGACCTCCCTGCACGAAGGTGTCTTGAAACAGGCATCTTGACCCCCTGCCAGCAGCGCATTTTCTCACTGGGCACACCTGAAGTCTGAAGGAAAACTCCAAAGCAAAGCACAGCACCTCAACGCAAAGCAAGCCAACTATCTGCAAGCAACTCTCTTGAAAAAAGGACGCGCTGGACCTTAGCAGATGGTCTGCCCTGTTAGTTCATACATAATGCACCTGCCTCGTTAAAATAGGTTATTCTCAATTTCCTACTCGTGCCCGTGGCTRAAACCAGAGGAGAGCACATGCCCTGCAACCACTTGTAACCGYGCTGCAGCTTGCCACTGTATTCACTTGTTTGGCAGAACATGTGCACATCCCTTCCTCGTGCTGCTGTCATTTACGGGATGGGAATTAGAGAGAACGGCACAGATTTCTCCTCTGAAATCTGTCCAGCACGTAAGGTCTCAATCATCACACAAATACTAATAAAGAGACTTCAGGATTCAAACCATATCATGAGCAAAATGGGCCTTCCACAGTTAAAAAATAGCCTAACGCAGTCAAGGCTGGCTGCTTAAATCTGCATTGTTTACAAGCCGGAAATGTTGCATTTTTATAAAGAGAACTTTTAGCTACGTGAATGGAGAAAGGTTGTTTCTTTTTTATTGTTTTGCAGCCATACGCCACAATAAAAATAAAGATAAAATAAACAAGACTTTTCAGTTAAGAAAAAAACTTCCAGGTTGAAGCTCTCTTTGTCCGAGCGTCAGCCTGCAGCAAGTTCTGCAGTTGGGCAATAAACCCTCTCAAAACGCGGTTTATGATGGAAACACTGTCCGAGCCTTAATTAAAGCAGGCGCCGCCGCAGCAGAGCTGCTTGCACAACCAACGGGCCCCGCGTGCAGCGATCTGATTCCCAACCCGCCCTCTCCAAACTCTCCAAACCAAGCCATCCGGATGAGCTCGCTTGTGCACATCCCGCTGCACGGGAGGAAACTTCTTCCACACTTTGGTGGAGAGAAAGGCGAGAGGTTGGACCAGTAGCTCACGGGCTTTGAAGCCACCACCGAGCCCGTAYGGCCCACGAGGGAGCGAGGCATCGGTGCTGTCTCCCGGAATGAGAAGGGACCTTTAAACCAGACTTTCAGGTCTGGGGTTTAATTTGCGTTGGGCTGGAGCGCGCCACGTCGACGACAAAGAATTGCGCTCCCACGCCAGCAGGATTTATGTCTTATTAAGCTTTAATGAAGGGTGAAATCTTGGCCTCGCTGACGTCGTGGGGAATTTTGCCAACGGCTTCGGCAGAGCCCAAATTTTATCCAAAGTGAATCGGAGAATCACCTGGTCGACTGAAATACCCAGCTGGCAGAGCRATGCATTATGGCAGGGACTTAGGATCTGCTGATGGAACGAGATAGATGGAGGCTGATAAATAGGAAAATCGTGTCTTTCTATCSCAGCAACCTGGGGTGTTCGTGTAAAATGAAGTTATTGCGAGTGGGGCCGTGGGCTGAGTGCTTCAGCTTGCCTAGCCCGAGCAGGAATGTTCCCTGAGCGCCTCCCCTCCTGCTCCTGCTGCCTTCATTTCAGTGTGTGCACCATGTGTCTAGGTTTAATCCCACAGTTCCTCAGCCCCAGGCAAAGAGGATTCTTTCCCAGTCAATTAGGCTAATTGCAAAAGGACTTGCCTGTCCCTAGGGAAACTGTGGGAAGAGGATGACGTGGGATTTTTTTTTTCTTTCTTTCTTTTTTCAAGGCTACGGTATGGGCAGGAACTCCCCTCGGTTCTTGGGATTTGACACCTGGGCATCAGCAAGCATCCTGCTGCTCCCTGATGTGCTTGGTCTTCTCAGAACACATGTGAAGAGGGTGCTGCACATCAGCAGCATTTGTGAGGAAGCAACATTTTTGTGAGGAAGAAAACAGTCCTGCAGAGYGACCCTTGATATTCCGGTTTATTCAGGGCACCACATGCAGAATCGGGAAATATGTTGGTCCCTATTTAGGAATCTGTGAGGAGACCAYCCCAAAGAAAGCCAAGGGATAAGTTGATGGCACTGCAATTCCATAAACGTTTCATAGAGAAGTTTTCACGTTGGCAGAGACAAAGTGAAGTTGATAGTGCAAAGTAGATCTCATGGCTTGCTTCATCTGGACTCATGATAAGCATGATAATTACAATATTGACAGAAATAAGTCATTCAAAGGAAGACTTCTTGCTCTTCCCCAAAGCTGAAAATAAAAAATCAGAACAAAATCGACTACCAAACCAAGTGTTGTTTGGCTCAGTCATCACTGAAGATGTTTATGCCAAGATGGGATATTTCTTCCTAGATCTGTCCCAATTAGAACAGTCTTCTGGCCTGAGGCGACAGTTTTATCTGGTCATCATGGTCCTTTTGGGTTTTATAATCTGCAATCTAAATTTCAGTCACTTAACTGTACCATGATGAAGCCTTCTTCGTTCTACCCTTGGAAGTATCATGCGGTGCAGGATGTGGTCAATAAAAACACACAGCACTTATTTTTAAGGCTGTCTGGGATGA